GTGCTGTACTTTCTGGAATTAAACATTTTCATTAGTAGTCCACAAAAATGAAACTAGAACTGAAAGGTCATATAACTGGCCACCTTTACCTTTGATATTGATATACCTTGGATGAGTTCCGAGAATTTTTCTACTCGCAGAGCCCGGCCCTTGGCCAGGCTTCTCTAGTCAATTAGGATGGTGCTACTGGTGGCCTGCTGACCCACATATCCATAGCCTGGCTGACCTGGCACCCAGTGAAGATACTTGGTCAACAAAGATTTCAGATCACTTTTAAAATTGTGTTTCTAACAAATTTTGGCATCGTGAATTCAAATTGGGAGCTCCACAGTAAACAATCATCAAGACATAACCGTCATGGAGAAGATATCGAGGAAACCTGATGATTAGTTTGACGCTGACTACTGCTGGACACTAGTGTGGGAGACCGATGCTGAACACAAGTGAAAAACGCCTGAAAACTCTGATGCAAATGTTTGTATGACTGTATGAAAATTTATTTTTGGTGTGTGTGTGTGTGTGTGTGTGTGTGGTGTGTGTGTGTGTGTGTGTGTGTGTGTGTGTGTGTGTGTGTGTGTGTGTGTGTGTTGAGGTGGTTTGGTCATTTAGAGAATGGATCAAAGTAGAATGACATGGAGAGCGTATAAATCTGTAGGGGAAGGAAGGCGGGGTAGGGGTCGTCCTCGAAAAGGTTGGAAGGAAGGGGTAAGGGAGGTTTTGTGGGCGAGGGGCTTGGACTTCCAGCAGGCGTGCACGAGCGTGTTCGATAGGAGTGAATGGAGACGAATGGTATTTGGGACCTGATGATCTGTTGGAGTGTGAGCAGGGTAATATTTAGTGAAGGGATTCAGGGAAACCGGTTATTTTCATATAGCCGGACTTGAGTCCTGGAAATGGGAAGTACAATGCTTGCACTCTAAAGGAGGGGTTCGGGATATTAGCAGTTTGGAGGGATATGTCGTGTATCTTTATACGCATATGCTTCTTAACTGTTGTGTTCTGAGCACCTCTGCAAAAACAGTGATTACGTGTGAGTGAGGTGAAAGTGTTGAATGATGAAAGTATTTTCTTTTTGGGGATTTTCTTTCTTTTTTGGGTCACGCTGCCTCGGTGGGAGACGGCCGACTTGTTGAAAATAAATAAATAAATATATTATATATATATATATATATATAATATATATATATATATATATATATATATATATTTATATATATATATATATATATATATATATATATATATATATATATATAATATAATGAATTTACATTTAGAAAGATAAGTTTTTGTCATTGCATTTACAATACTTAATACTCATATCATGTAGCTCTTCAGCCTTTAATTACGTAGCCAAACTATTGATTAGTATAAGATTTAAAGAAAACTTTTTAAATAAAGGGTAAAGCTGAGATTTGTCATCAGTGCATCAAAGATAGCTTAACCCTTTCAGGGTTCTCGACGTACTAGTATGGCTTACGCACCAGGGTTATTGACGTACAGTGGACCCCCAGTATACGACATTAATCCGTTCCTGAGAGCTCATCGTATGCCAAAATTATCGGAAGGCGAATTAATTTTCCCCTTAAGAAATAATGGAAATCAAATTAATCCATGCAGGACACCCAAAAGTACTATGAAAAAAAAGTTTTACCACATGAAATATTAAGTTTAATGCACACAAACTGAAGAAGACATGCACAGTTAGTAGTACTCTACTAACAATAGAATACATGACACTTACCTTTAATGAAGGTCTGGTGATGATTGATGGGATGGTAGGAGGGGATAGTGTTGAAGTTGTTAATGTTTAGAAGGGGAATCCCCTCCCATTAGGACTTGAGGTAGCAAGTCCTTTTCCAGGGTTACTTCCCTTCTTTTAATGCCACTAGGACCAGCTTGAGAGTCACTGGACCTCTGTTGCACAACAGATCTGTCCATAGAGCTCTGTACCTCCCGTTCCTTTAAGATTTGTTTAAAATGGGCCACAACATTGTCATTGTAATAGTCACCAGCACGGCTTGCAATAGCTGTGTTAGGGTGATTTTCATCCATAAAGGTTTGCACTTCAACCCACTTTGCACACATTTCCTTAATTTTTGAAGTAGGCACAATGGATTCCACAACTGGCATAGGCTTCTCAGGGTTAGCCCCAAACCCTTCAAAATCTCTTAATTTCCATACTAATTCTCACCCTTTTTATCACAGGGTTGGCACTAGAAGCTTTCTTGGGGCCCATGGTGACTTATTTTGCAGAAACAAGCACCAAAAACACTGTGATAATATGGAATGAACCAAATGTATGCTTAGATGTGAGTACACTGGCATGCACGGGGCGGTTCAGGCCTCACGTGGACGGGTCCCAGACGAATCGTGTGTGGCGGGTTTTTTAACGAGTGGCGAGGCAAAATTTTTGCGTTAAAATGTGTCGAATACCGGATTTAACATATACTGATGCCATCGAATGCCGGGGTCCACTGTACTAGTACGCCTAAATTCTAGCGCCTTCAAATCTAGCGAGAGAAAGCTGGTAGGCCTGCATATGAAAGAATGGGTCTGTGTGGTCAGTGTGCGCAGTATAAAAAAAATCCTGCAGCACAGAGTGCGTAATGAGAAAAAATAAACTTTGACCGTGTTTTTGGATTAAAACAGCGACTTTGCAGTGTATTTTCTTATGGTATTTATGGTTGTATTCTAGTTTTCCTGGTCTCATTTTATAGAATGGAAGACGTTACAGAAATTGAGATGATTTTGACTGGTTTCACAATGAAAAGTACCTTGAAATTGAGCTCAAAGTAGCAGAAATGTTTGATTTTTACCAAAGTTCAAAAGTAAACAAATCATGCAAAGCGTCCAATATACGTCAATTGGTGAGTCTAATATTCTTTCACAAGTGCATTGATATTATGTATACCATTTCTACACTAATGCAGTAGTCTGCATAACAGTAAGCCTTCTATTTTTTGTAAGAATAAAAATTCAAAGTGGAAAGCAAAAGAAATATAAGAGGGGCCTGGAGATGTGACTAACGAAGAGAGAACGTGTTATTTTAGTGCCAGAAATGTCTTTCTTGTTTATTCTGGACCCTATTTGGAAATTGGCATCTTCTGAAATTTCTGTGAAATTGGCAAAATTGCCAATTTCTAACTGCTTTATTGGATAGTTGAAATTGGTAAATGGGTGGTTTCTTGTATTCATTCAATAGAGTTCTAGCGAAATAAATATGATTTTTGTCGACTAGTACACAGGAATTAGCCAAAACTAGGGCTCAAAGTGGGCGGAATCGCCGATGCGTAAACATCTGCGAGACCACTAACTTCACGAGAGCATAATTCCGTAAGTTTTCCATCAAATTTCATACTTTTGGTGTCATTATGATTGGGAAAAGATTCTCTATCATTTCTTAAGAAAAAATAATTTTTTTCCCCCCAAAATTTTTGACCCTGAGAACAAGTTTAAGAGAAAGCCTCTCGACCCTGAATGGGTTAAAACAACTAATTTGATTTCTGAACTGGACAAAGTTAATTTTTGTTGGCTAGTGTAATTAATGCACTACTAATTTTTCATTCATCATAGTTTGTTTATATCTGGAAAGACGGAGATAGTATGTGTTTTCTTCTTTGGGCCATGGCCAGGCTCTAGGAGTAGAAAAACTGTTGCAGCTCATCAAAGGTAAAGGTATCCTGCCTTGGCGGGACGTGGCTGTTGAGAGAGAGGAAAAAAGGTACAGTATTTGGATAAGGATTTTGTTAGACATGTAGCAACCTTCAGAACGTTTTATCTCGTATTAAGTTATACCTTTGAAGATTTTCAAGAGTTTCTCTACTCTGAGCCCGGCCATGGACCAGGCTCGTCTGGGGCTTGCCTGGTCAACCAGGCTGGTTGATCTGGCACTTGAAGATACTTGTCCAGTTTCCTCATGAAAGCTTCTACACTTGTTCCAGCCATGTTTTGGATATCTTCTGGTAAGATGGTGAATAGTCTGGGGCCCCAGATGTTGATACAGTGTTCCCTTATTGTCCCCACTGCACCCCTGCTTCTCACTGGGTTTATTTTACACTTCCTCCCATATCTCTCTCTCCAGTATGTTATGGCAGTATGCAGATTTGGGACCAGGCCCTAGAGTATTTTTCAGGCACAGGGACCCTCGTTTTTTGTAATTAATCTGTTCCAGAGAGTGCAACTAATTGCAAAATTAGCAATTTGCAAAACCATTTTCCCCATAAGAAATAATGTAAATCCAGTTAATCCGTTCCAGACACTGAAAAGTATTAAAACAAAATAATTTTTTTACATGAAATATAGATGTACATACACAGAAAACAATGAGACATGAATAAAACAATAATAACATGACACCTTTATTGAAGATTCTTCTTAATGTATGGAAGATGGGAGGAGTGGAGAGGATGGAGAAGTTACTGTTTGGAAAGGGAATCCCATTCCATAAAGCCTTCCTTCTTTGTTTTTTTTAATGCCACTAGGACCAGCTTGAGTCACTGCACACCTGTGGCACTAAATATTTGTCCAGAGAGCTCTGTTTCTGGCATCTCTTTAAAATTTCCCTAAAATGGGATGAGACAGTGTCATTGTACGTGTTGCCGACACGGCTTGCAACAGCTTTGTTAGGGTGATGTTCCTCCACAAATCTTTCCATCCTACTCCACATTGCATGTCTCCATCACTTCTACCCTCTACTACCATCACAATCACTACCACCGTCTACCACCATCACAACCACCCTCTACCACCATCACAACTACCACCACCCTATACCACTATCACTACCACCCTCTACTACCACCACAACCACCACCACCCTCTACCACCATCACTACCACCCTCTACCATCATCACCACCACCACCACCACCACTTTCGTATTTTTCTACAATCTTTTTCTTTAATTCTATCGTGTTTGTCACCTTCTTTACCGAAGGGCTGGCGCTAGCTTCTTTGGGCCGATGGTGGCTTATTTAAAAGTTGCAAGCACTAAAAAGAATGGAATATTATGAAATGCGTCATATGAATGCTTGGGATCGTGCTCACTCGCTGATAAACAATGGCACACTGACTGTGGCAGTGTTGGGTCTGCTCGTATGCGTCTGGGACGAATGACTGTTTGCGAGTCAGACAACGATTCACGAGTCCATATTTTGACGAAAAAACGTCATGATTTGCGAAAATTATGACTTCCAATGCTTATGAAAAACGAGGGTCCGCTGTATATATTATCATGCCTCTCTCCTCCACTCCAATGAGTACATGTTCAAGACTCGAAGGCGTCCCCAGTAATTTAGGTGTTTTACTAGCTCACTGTGAGCCATAAACAATCTCTGTACAATGGAACCTATACTTGTGAGCTCGTCCACGTGCGAGTTTTTCCAAATACAAGCAGTCGATGGGTCAAATTTTTGCATGAGCAGACCTCAAGGCAGGTGCCTTGATGCTGGTGAGGGGCTCTTGCTCTTGATCTAGGGAATTATCTCATTTGTTTGTTGGACTATCTTATTGAAACTTGGGCAATGTATGATGGAAAGATGCTTCTTAACAATAATAATAATAATAATAATCTTACATATAAAAATACGTATAATAATAATAGTATAATATAATACAATAATAATAATAATAATATAATATGTATAATAATAATACATATATAATAATAATTATAATAGACGACTTCAAAAGGCTGTCACTAGATGGCAGTGTTTACCACAACAAAGAGGGAGTGGTTGTGGCCGCCTCTACCTATTACATACTGACATATTTTATGCATTCTGGAGTATATATCAGGTTTCTGTTATTTATATTGTTTATTATTTCATATTAGATGAACTATAATAGATAAATAAGCTGTAGAGTTGATAGTGAAATACTCAAGGAGTAACATTTATGAAGGGGTTCAGGGAAACCGGCAGGCCGGACTTGAGTCCTGGAGATGGGAAGTACAGTGCCTGCACTCTGAAGGAGGGGTGTTAATGCTGCAGTTTAAAAACTGTAGTGTAAAGCACCCTTCTGGCAAGACAGTGATGGAGTGAATGACGGTGAAAGTTTTTCTTTTCGGGCCACCCTGCCTTGGTGGGAGTCGGCCAGTGTGATAATAAAAAAAAAATATTTTGTCCCGTCTCCAGACAAACTCTCGTCAGCCGCCGCTGCTGCCACACACATTATGACATATTTTATTCATTCTAGAGTATACATCAGGTTTTTGTGTTATTTATATTGTTTGTTATGTCATATTAGGTGAATTGTGATAGATAAATAAGCTGTTGAGTTGATGTTAGCGAAATTATTGAAGTACAGAATTCCACTGGAACAGATTAATTGTATTTCAGTTAATTTAAATGAGGAAAATTAACTCTGCAAGCGAGCAAATCCAGTTGCGAACAAGGTCATGGAACGGATTAAACTCGCAGAGAGTTTGCATAAATGGGGAGAAATCAGAGTGGGGAAGCGTCACAAGCGGTGTTCCACAGGGGTCAGTGTTGGGCCCCCTGCTGTTCACAATATACATAAACGACATAGATGAGGGCATAAAGAGCGACATCAGCAAGTTTGCCGATGACACCAAAATAGGCCGTCGAATTCATTCTGACGAGGACATTAGAGCACTCCAGGAAGATTTGAGTAGACTGATGCAGTGGTCGGAGAGGTGGCAGATGCAGTTTAATATAGACAAATGCAAAGTTCTAAATGTTGGACAGGACAATAACCATGCCACATATAAACTAAATAATGTAGATCTTAATATTACGGATTGCGAAAAAGATTTAGGAGTTCTGGTTAGCAGTAATCTGAAACCAAGACAACAGTGCATAAATGTTCGCAATAAAGCTAATAGAATCCTTGGCTTCATATCAAGAAGCATAAATAATAGGAGTCCTCAGGTTGTTCTTCAACTCTATACATCCTTGGTTAGGCCTCATTTAGATTATGCTGCACAGTTTTGGTCACCGTATTACAGAATGGATATAAATGCTCTGGAAAATGTACAAAGGAGGATGACAAAGTTGATCCCATGTATCAGAAACCTTCCCTATGAGGATAGACTAAGGGCCCTGAATCTGCACTCTCTAGAAAGACGTAGAATTAGGGGGGATATGATTGAGGTGTATAAATGGAAGACAGGAATAAATAAAGGGGATGTAAATAGTGTGCTGAAAATATCTAGCCTAGACAGGACTCGCAGCAATGGTTTTAAGTTAGAAAAATTCAGATTCAGGAAGGATATAGGAAAGTACTGGTTTGGTAATAGAGTTGTGGATGAGTGGAACAAACTCCCAAGTACAGTCCTAGAGGCCAGAACGTTGTGTAGCTTTAAAAATAGGTTGGGTAAATACATGAGTGGGTGTGGGTGGGTGTGAGTTGGACCTGATTAGCTTGTGCTACCAGGACGGTTGCCATGTTCCTCCCTTAAGTCAAGGTGACCTTACCTGACTAGGTTGGGTGCATTGGCTTAAGCCGGTAGGAGACTTGGACCTGCCTCGCATGGGCCAGTAGGCCTGCTGCAGTGTTCCTTCGTTCTTATGTTCTTCTTATGTTCTTATTATTTCCCTTGTTTTGAAAGTTCTCAGGGTGGGTACTGTCATCTTTATTCCAAATGGAATAAATTATTTTTCGTTAATGGTTGTTACCACCAAGGATTGAATGATGCAGTGCTGCCAGCAGTGATCTGTACAGGATGTGGGTGTGACAGTCATTGACCAAATCTCTAGTAGTGGGAATTCTGCTTAATGATACAAAAAAAAATGACAAGGATTCCTGGCATTACAATGGATTTCAAGCATACTATGTTGATGGGAAGTACAGTGCTTGCACTCTGAAGGAGGGGTGTTAATGTTTTTTAACTGTAGTGTAAGGATGCCTCTGGCAAGACTGATGGAGTGAATGATGAAAGTTTTTCTTTTTCGGGTCACCCTACCTTGGTGGGAGACGGCTGATGTGTTAATAAAAAAAAAGTACTATGTTGATTTGAATTTTTGATCTTAGTTAGGTTGATCTCAATTTTCCTCATAAAATTCAGTTTGGATAGTTTAATTTAAAATTGTGATAATTTGTATTCCACTTAGTACAGTAAAACAGATTTCAGCAATTTTGGACAAGAAAAAAATAATGGCTGGACAAACATTGGGAGTACATATTAGATAAAATGGGCAAAAGTCTGTAATTCTGGGTTTTGCCTATAATGAAAGTGTCCGGTTGCCTCCTGAAATATTGAACTAATCCCACCCTTGTGGTTTAGCGCTTCTTTTGATTATAACAATGGACTAATCCCAATGACTGATGTTGGTCCAGTATAGGCCAGAGTATCTGTCTCCAGTATCTGTCTCTCTTCGTCGTTCCCTGAGTTATAAGCCATCCATGCCAGTTTGTGCTTGCTCAGGCATACACTTATCATTCACTCTGATTTTTCCCTGGATTTAGTGTTTTGTGATTTTATTAACATATTAATTACAGTTAACAATTACTTCTAAAGTAAGTGGTGGTGCCAAGAGGAATTGTGTAGTTTACAATGTTAAGGTCGAGCCTGGCATCTCAGTGGCATGGGTTTGCCAGGAATATCATGTTAAGAAACAGTGTCTGATATTTGTAGAAGCAGACAAACATATTGATTATGCTCTTAAGTTTAGTGTAGATGCTAGTAGAGCTTTACAGCTCCTCTGACTCGATAAAAAATTAGGCTGAGTCACCACTATCAGTTATTTCAGTTTACTTCTCTCTCCATCATTAAAACATAAGTAAAATTACTATAAAGTATGTATGGTACTACAAAGTGGCTACAGTATTGTACCATACTGTAGTACTACAAATTGCAATACCTGTATTCTTAGTGTTTGACTATCTTCAGCATCAGCAGACCAAGTACATACACTATGTACTTCAGAAAAAATCAGAAAAATTAATTCACATTTTGGAAGTTTTGGATGATCAGCAATATTGTACGCCCCCTTCTCCCTATTAGTCTGCTAGTAAGAAGGTTCACTGTACTTGAATTTAGGTACAATAGGTAATATAATCACAGTATAATTAACAATTTTCATCTTGCATCATTTTGTCCTGCATGAGTGCTGAACAGATATTCAAGCTTCAAAAAATATGCAAGTTTAAAAAATCTAGACTCCTATTATGCCAGATTTAAATTCATTGAAGCATACATAACCAGTATGCATAATGCTACTTTACATGAAATAAACTGATATTTTAATTTTGAAGGAAAATTTTTTTATAGGGTAAGCAGTGCTTATCTTTCTTCTTAGGAATACATGCCACTGCTTGGTGCAAAATTAACCCTGATCAAGACATTTCTTTGTCTTGATCAGGGTTAATTTCTTTAATGTCTGGATCAAGATCATTTCTTTAATGTCTTGATTAGTAAATACGTTTCTTTTACATACAACTTGTCGGTATCTCCATACCACTTCCTCCTATTCCTGGAGAGCTGCAACAGAACATATACGCAACATCAGAAATTAATCTCTCAGATATTCCATATGTGTGACTCGGTCTGAGTAAACACTCAATGAAAATCAAAGTACATACCCAAAATTTGAGACAGTCTGCCTGAAGGCTCAAAAAGCTCTTTATTTGCTAATAGCTTCAAAAATATTTTCACAAAACACCCAAAGTTAATGTAATATTTTAATATGTAATGATCATAAATATTTAATAACTATTGATATGCCTTTTATAACATAACACTAGCTAATTAAATTGCTACCTCTTATTATAATATAACTGTACATGATTATATACAGAAATAGTTCATGCTGAACGTCATACAAAAGCACACTTATGTGTAATAATCCATATCTCAATACTGTGCCTATGCTAGTACAGTATTATGTATCAACACTGTGATATTTATTTTTCAAATGTGCTGTAATTTGAATTGGTAAAGATATGATTAGACAGCTGAGTCAGAGCATTTTTATGTTTATCCAAGGACCGTCTGTATTTCATAGAGATGAAAAATGCTGGTTTAAATATAAGGGTGATTAGGAACATCACTAATGGCAGAGTGCAGCCTCCTCTTTAGAGCTTGTTTACCAATTTCTATCATGCTGCTGGAGGAACCTGCTTGCTCAGGTTAC